GCTTGCCAGGCAAGCACTTACTCTACTGAGTTATCTCCCCATTGTCTGCCCTCACTTCCTTCTCAGTGCTTCATCAACACTGCCCAGTACTCAGCTTCTACTTATTTTTTTTTGTTTTTGGCACTGGAGTGGAACCCAAAGCCTTGTCCATGCCAGCAGTAGAAGTCTGCCGCGCTGCAGCATGAACCTAGCCTGTCTTTTTGTTGAAGCAAGGATTGCCTTCTCCCATGCCACATTTTTCCCCATAATGATTTTTTTTTGTTTTTGTGTTTATGTATTTAGTATAGGGTTTACAGGGTCTCATTACACAGATCAGACCCGCAGTGATCCTCCTGTTTTCAGCCTCCCAAGCACTGGGATTATAGGTGCATGCCACCATGCCCAGTCTCAATCACTGGGCAGGGCTGGAACAGCACACCGGGTAACAAACCTCAATCCCTGCCACTTTAATCCCGAGTTATCTGGCCTGCCTATATTTTTGTTTTTTTCAGATGGTCTAGTTATGTAATTAAGGCTGGCCTTGAACTTGGGATAATCCACCTGCCTCACACTCCCAAGGGCTGGGATCACAGGTATGCACCACCATGCCTGGCCCACATCGATTTGATTTTTTTTTTTTCTTTTTGAGACAGGGTCTCACTATGCAATTTAGGGTGGCTTGAATTCTTTTTTTTTTTTTTTTTTGGTGGAACCGGGCATTGAACTCAGGCCCTTGCGCTTGCCAGGGAAGCGCTTATTCTACTGAGCCATCTCCCTGGCTCCTCTTTTCACTTTCTTGATATGTTTCAGTACACAACACTTTTAGTTTAGATGTTTGGCTTTGTGTACTTTTTTCTTTTGTTGTCGATACTTTTGGTGTCAAGTCTTAGCAATTCATTTCTAAATTCTAGATCATAGATATTTACCTTTGTGTTTTATTCTAAGAATTTTTATGGTCTTAGTTCCTTATGTCTGGTCTGTTTTGAGTTAGTATATGTGGTGTGAGATAAAGATCTTGCTTCAATCTTTTGTGTGTGGTTTTCTGACATTCCCAGCACCATGTACAAGAGACTTGACTCCATGTTGTGGTCTTGGCACCTTGTCAACATGTTCAGCGGAATCAGAACTCCCAGCCCCTGCATCTGTCTGAGCAACCACTTTAATCTACTGAGCTATTTGGCTGGCCCTTGTGCTAGTATTTTTTTTGTTGTGAGCTCTGTGCTTTATATATGTTATTTGAACATCTCTACTTCTTTGAAAATTCCCATTCTTACAGTAAGTCAGATGGTATTTTACCACTCTCTGGTATCTGATAAAATTTTGCTCCCATCATCCACATGCCAGGAGCTTACTGCTAAGGAGTGTGAGCAACTTGTCAAGTACTTTGTAGTAGCTCTGAAGAAGACTATGAGATAACTTGTTAGGATTTTATCAGTTTTTTCAGGGTCGCAAAGAGTAGCTATGGGGTTTTTGATTGCTGTTTGGAGTTTTGGTAAGTCTGCTTTAGAAGAATTTAATGATCCGCCAATGATTAATCTAAGTCTTAGTAACTCAAGATATGAAGTAAAATTGGCCTTCCATCTATGGCTGCAGGAAATGCTTGTGAGAAAAACTGTATCTGTCCCAAATATGTGCAGACACAATTTGTCATCATTTCCTAAATGATACAGTGTAACATTTGTTGATGTAGCAGTTATATGATTCTTAACAGTTATCTAGAGGTGAAGGGGTAAGTATGAGAATATACCATTTAGGTAAGGGACCTGAGCAGCTACAGGTTTCAGTATCTGAGAGGAGTTTTTTTTGTCCCCACAGATGCTGAGGGAACAACTCTTACCATAAAACTGATTCTTTTTTTTTTATTGAGAAATAAATATGAATGAGACAGTTTCAAAGCTGATTAATAGGACAGTTTCAATAATCAATACATTGCACGTTATCTTCTTAATAGTTATCCATAGTACAAGAAGCAGGATATCCTGTCCAAACGCTATTAGTACACCTCTTCTCATTGAATTAAGCGAAAGTAGCTGTGTATATATCCTATTTTGTATATATAAATACAAAATGATCTTTCTTTTGTATCCTTTTTTTGTCCTGTCAGAGGTGGATATTCTATTGGTATCTAAATACTATAGGTGTTTGAATTTAGCTAAACAATCCAACACTGTCTAGCATTCTATAATATTAGTGGGTTATCCTCAGAAGTTACTGACTTTAGCCTTTTACAGCTCATCATATTAATATGGCTATACTTTATATACCTTGTTTTTATACTTTTCTCCTGGATGGTTAAGACGAAGATAAAGCAAGACCTGTATAACAAGAAATGTAGCTTTTATATCTGATAAAGTCAGTCAAGTACCCTCAGGATTTATCCTGTAGCCGTGTACCTCACTTTGTAGATTCTTTGTCAGTGTCAGCCATGTGGATGAGTCACTACCATTGCTTGACCAATTTGCTCTCTGTGAAAGCCTGAGAGAATGTTTTTTTCTCTCCATGTGACTTTCCCCAGGCACACTACATCATCGATCACATTCCTCTTAGGCTCCATAATCTTCTTGATCAGAAAATTTGGAGCACAACTGAGTTACATGTTGTTAACAGTACAGATTCTCCTATATGCTGAGTCTTCACTGACCTTGAAAGGCTAGGGCCAAAATGTTGGCTGGCCTTGCAGCCCTTTTCTCCAATTTTGAACTGCTAACTTAGGTTGTTAACGCTCCAGAAGAGAAGCTAAGTATTAACCTGCAATATATGCAGTTTGATTTACCCTGTCTAAATATCAAACATCTCTGGCATATCATGGAACAGGTATTTTCCATCAAATATTGATATGTTTAAATTCTTTGTAAAATATATAAAACTGATTTTTAAGGGCCAGCCAGATAGCTCAGCAAATTAAAGCACCTGCTTAGGCAGCTGCAGAGACCAGAGTTCAATCCCCAGAGTTTGATCCATGGCATGCTATGCTGGCCCTGCCCCGGGGGCTTGCTGAGACTGCAATTGAGAGTGGGCATGGTGGTATAGCCTTTAATCTCAGCTCTTGGGAGACTGAAAACAGGAGAATCATTGAGTCAGATCTGTGTAATAAGACCCTGTAGACCCTGCACAAAGTACAAAAAACAAAAACAACAACAACAACAAAAAACCACCCAAATCAAATTTTTAAATGTTTATCAGGAGTTGTACTTAAATTCTGTTTAGTAATTTAGTAATCGTACTGACCTATGAGTTGTACTATTATTATCAGAAAGGAAACTGAGGCTTAGAGAAGTGGAGTAACTTAGGAAAGATATGTGACTGGGCTGGAGAGATGGCTCAGTGGTCTAAAGCACCTACTTGGAACAAGCTTGGCAAAGCACAGGGACCACGGTTCGATCCCCCAGCACCACATGCCAGCCGGCCCCGCCCCCTGGTGGGCTGAGCTGGCCACACAGACACACACACACACACACACACACACACACACACACACACACAATAAATAAATAAATATAAATAAAAAAATTTTAAAAAAATTAAAAAAAAAGGAAAGATATGTGACTAGCAAGTGGCAGAACTGGTATTAATTCTAGTTATACTATCTGTTTTGTGTTTTTAATCTGGGGATTAAGCCTAGGGACTTTTGCACTGAGCTACATTCCCAGCCTCTCCCTCCTCTTCTCCTTCTCTCTCCCCTTCCCCTTCCCCTTCCTTCCCTTATTCTCCCCCTTCCCCTCAGTCCCCTCCCCCTCCTTTTCCCTCCCTTTCTCTCTCCTTCCCTTCCATTTTGAGAGTCTCACTAAGTCACCAAGTTGCTGGGCTCAAACTTGAAATTCTCTTCCCTCAGCTTCCCAGAGTGTGTACTGGGAATACAGGTGTATGTGCCTTTATTCCTAGCTCAGTCTATGTTCTTTGCTCTCCTGCACTCTCTCCTACATCTATGATGATGCTTGTTGAATTTAAGCACGCCCGTATCCTTTTTTAAGTTAGGAGAGCATCTTCAGGTGCTCAGTGGATTTTATCTTTAGGTTAAAGTGATTAGGAGCCAAGGTACTACTGGTCCTGGTTTTATGCAGGGTGCAGTTGAGAAAGTGCACAAGACCTGTGCGCAGAGGGGTAACAGGCAGCTGTGGGCCAAGAAGTCAGGGTTGTCTGGATAGAAACAATTTTACTTCTGCTCTTAGAGTATGAGGACCTAATAGTCCCTCAAAACAACAGCAGCAGCAAATAGCTGTTGGTTTTCTTTTTGTGATACTATCAGGAATTCCTGATTAGTAAAACATTGTTACCTTGGAATCCTTATGAACCAAAAATATGAAGTAGAATTTCACTCATGTTTTAAATATCATTTTACTAGTATGTTTAACTGAGTCCTGAAGTATTACTGCTTTGTGTTGAATTAAATTTTTTGTCTCTGCCTTCCTCTCTTTGCAGCCATTGACCTTACGTATGGAGGTATTTATTGCTTTTTGTGCCAGGACTACATCTATGACAAAGACATGGAAATAATTGCCAAAGAGGAACAGCAGAAGGCTTCCAAGCTGCAAGGTTGGCTTCTGCCTAAATTTACCTCCTCAACTTGCCCCTTAATCCTGTGGTTCCTTTAGGTCTGTTGAGGGCAGAACTTGGTCAAAAACGGAGTACCAGAAACCAGGTGAAGGTGAGAAGCAGCAAGTGTGTTTGCACAAGTCAGGTTAGAGTTGATGGAAAAGTTAGAGGTGGGTGGAGTTGCAGGCCACCCAGGTGCCCAGGACACAGTCATGAGAGGCTCTGCTGAAGTGAAAAAAACACTCCAGAAACAGCTATTTTCTGCCATTAAGGGCAAGTTTGCAGCCTGGAGCTGAACCCAGTCTAGCTACAGTGGGTTCACATTTTTATCTCTTCTAGGGATGGTTCCTTGAACCCCAGAAGTCCCCATTGGTGGGTTTGCCCTAAGCAGCACGGTGTTCCAAAAAGCATCTTCTCTGCAGTAATGTTGAAGATAAATGTATCTTATTCCTATTTCACCAACTGAATTCTAGACTCCTGTAAAGTTCTAAACCATTTGGGTAGTGCTGGTTCTGTCTATAGCGTGACATTGCCAGATGGGAAGTAGAACAGGCCAGCACAAAGCCTACTCCTGACAGGTGCTTTGTGGCTGGGGTGCCCATCTGGGCTGGCTGCTTGTTTCTTTCCCTGTTCTCATGTGCCCTCTGTTAGCTGTGCAGTCAGAAGCGCTCCAGCATTGTGCAGCCACTTTCTTTTTCTCCTTGGTTTCTCTTTTTTTTTTCCCCCTTCATTTTTAATTCCCACAGGTTCACAGTGGTTCACTTATTAATAAGGATGCTGGCTGTGGTCAGCCCTAGTTAATGGGTGAATACCTTCTCTCAAGCAGCAAGACCCATCACTGTGTGCAAAAGGAGCCCATAAACTTGGTCCCTGCTTAATATATTCTTGTCTTTTTTTGGATTGAAAATACCCCCAGTTTTTGAAAACAGAAGAATAAAACAGGTGCTCTCAGTGATCAGAAATATTTCATATTTAACAGATCATTTCTGGAGAAAAATCTCCAACTTGTATTATGTATTGTGTTCCTCCTCAAAGATGTAATAACATTATAACTACATATATTTCTTTGATCAGGACACTTAAACTATGGGGCTAAGAAATGTACATCTCAGGCTAAAATAGAATTTTTTTTTTTTTTTTGAGATAAGGTCTCACTGTGTAGTTCAGGCTGGCCTTGAGTTCACTGTGTAACCCAGGCTAACCTCAGACTCACAGTGGTCCTATTCCTCTAGGCTCCCAAGTGCTGGGATTATAGGTATGAGCCACCCTGCCCAGCTAAAATAGAATTCTTTTCAAAGGTTATTCTGCCATTCCATCTCTCCATAAGATGCTATCTCATTGAATGCAAACATTTTAGAGACTGTGGTACTAGAACTTCAGGGAATAGAGCATGTATTAGGGTAAAGTATGATTCCTATTAGCATTTTCCTCTTAATGTCTTCTGTTTCAATTCTTTATAGCATATAGCTTTCCAGCAACTGGATCTAGTTTGCTCAAGAGTGTACTTCCTGTCAGCTTCACTCATCAGCTGAAACATCCTTCATCTGAGTTGCTGCTGGGTAGCTGTAATCTCTGTACTACAGTCAGGAATTGAAGACATTATGAAAAAAAATTTTTTTTTGGCATTAGTGTTGGGATAGCCTCAATGGGCAATGGTTTCCTTGGGACAGAAAACATGGCGTATTCATAAGATATTTGCTAAGAGAAACCCCTGATGATATGGGTGCCTTTCTTTGAAATCCAAGCTGGTACAGTGTAACTTTTATTTTAGAACACACTTTCAAGGAAAATTTAGCCAATAGGACTTGAAACTGTCCTTCATTTTCTTAGGTGTTGGAGAGAAGTTTTCAACTTGGGAACCAACCAAACGAGAGCTGGAACTGCTGAAACACAACCCAAAAAGGAGGAAGATAACTTCCAACTGTACCATAGGTGAGTGGAGGGTGTCACATAGAGCAGTGTTCTTTTTTTGCACTCAGTCGGAATTCTTTCTCAGGGCTTAATAATACAACACAGGTTTTTGTAAGCCCTGCCTAACTGCATGCCATTATTAGTTTGCTCAACATCCAGGTCTGAGCACCTGATCTCTATGGGGACTGCCATGGGCTTGGGGTGCAAAGGGATGATGAGCAAAGACCATCCCTGCTCCATGGCCCTGAGAGTCCATAAGTGTCATAGGGCTCATGTATATTCTTATTCTGGCAGGTTGATCTTGGAGAGAAAAGATGCATCAGTGTGTAAGATGTTTGCACAGGAATGAGGAAATCCATTTTAAAATGTTTTAAAAAACATTTTGGCTCTATTCTGAGCTGGTTCTTCTTATAAAAAATACACAGTGGCCGAATGGGGGGGAATGATGGTGGTGAACATTCCTCGATGCAGTTCATACAAAAATGGTGTAAAGAGCAGGGGATATAGCTCAGTGGCACAGTGCCTGCCTGGCAAGTGCAAGGTCTTGGGTTTGATTCCCGGTTTTTTGTTTTCTGTTTTTTTAAAGTACAAATGGTATACAACTAAGGAAATACTCTGCAAGGCTGACACAGTAAGTTCAGCTCTAGTTTGGGTAACTTTTACCAAGACTCTTATCTCAAAAATAGAAGGACTGAGGATGCAGCTCAGTACTTAGGCTCAATCCCTGGTACCAGAGGGGGGGGGGGAATGAAAAGCTACTGTATCCCTTCTTGCTCTTCCTTTTTTCTTGAATGCATGAATAAAAGAAAGTGACTTATTGTACAGACCCAAAAGCCCTTGGGATCCAGCCTTGTGTGTTGTAGCTCAGTGCAGAAGTAACATTTGCTCTCTGGCTTCCTGCCTAGGTCTGCGAGGGCTTATCAACCTTGGGAACACGTGCTTTATGAACTGCATTGTCCAGGCTCTGACCCACACACCACTCCTTCGGGACTTCTTCCTGTCCGATAGGCACCACTGTGAGATGCAGAGCCCTAGCTCCTGCCTGGTGTGTGAGATGTCCTCGCTCTTTCAGGAGGTGAGTACTTCTGGCTGCTGTCATGGAATGCTTTGGAAACTACTGTCTTTCCACCTTTTTAAAAAACATACAGGACCGGCAAGATAGTTCAGCGGTGTGAAGTGCTTGGTTAGGCAAGCTTAGGCAAGCTCAGGGACTACAGTTTGATCCCTAGCACCACATAACATGTCATACCAGCTCCATCCCCAGGGTAGGCTGAGCCAGCCACAAATAAATAAAATAAAATACAAAATTAAAAAAAAAAAAAAATACAGTTGACCATAAACAAGGCAGACTAATTTTCAGAATCTATACAGCAAGTAAATATATAAGATGTGCAGTTATTATAGAAGACACAGTTTTTCCAAAAGAGAATGCTAGGTAAGGATAAGGGGCCTGACTTGGAGGCACACTGCCAGCCCAGGAGAGAAAGCTCAGAGAGGCTTGGCAGAGTCAGCTGTGGACGACATCAGTTTCTGTGAATGCTGGTGATTTATGTCCTGTGTCTGCCACTCTAGAGCTCAGGGAGGTTAGCGGACAGTCTTCTTTCATGCCTCATTTTCAAGGAGCGTGAGTCTCTTTCTCCTTTGCCCTGCCTTTCCCAATGTGTTGTATGAAAGGTTTGTGTTGCTAAGTAGGAACTATATCACATTGTGGTTGTACACTTCTCAGTTCAGGGTGGTTTAAAGTTTTTGGTGTTGAATAAAACCACAGTACTTGTTTATATACAGATTTTTTGTGTGTGAAAACTAGCATTTCTGTTCATTATCTGACTTGTATTTGTTTAGGTCCTAATTTCTCTCATTAGTGTTTTATGTGTACATATTCTGTTTATCACTGTCACATGTTTTTTGTTTTGCTATAAAGGACATGATTTTTAGTTTCAGTGTCTTGTTTATTTATTTATTTACTTATTTATTTTTTAATTTTATTTGTGTGTGTGTGTGTGTGTGTGTGGCCAGCTCAGCCCACCAGGGGGCGGGGCTGGCTGGCATGTGGTGCTGGGGATTGAACCACGGACCCTGTGCTTTGCTAAACTTGTTGTAAGTAGGTGCTTTAGACCACTGAGCCATCTCACCAGCCCCCCAGTGTCTTGTTTATTGAGCACATTTTGAGTGCCTTCAATCTGAGAATCAAAAATGCTCTACAATCTGAATTTTTTGAGTATTAGCACAGTGTCACAACTAAAAAGTTCTGTACCTGAGCTGTGGTGGTTCACTGTACAAAAACTTTTAATTCATGCATAGAATCATTAGAAGTATTAATGAAACTACTTTCAGGCTACTGTATTTTTGTTTAGACAAGTCCCACCCTGTATTATAAAGTTACATATCCACAAAGTTTCCAAAATCAGAAACCTCCTTTTTCCTTGAATTTTGGATAAAGGATACTCGGCTTCCATTGATTATTTTTAGTCTGTGAGAATATTCTCCATCATACATAGTGTTTTGCTATTTGTTTACAAATTTGGCCTTTTTGTTGGCTCTCTACCATATAATCTATTCTAGGTATTTTATAGTAATGAAAACTTTGCATGTTTACAGAAATTCTGTAACAGCCTAAAACTCTCAAAAAGTGAGTTCCTAGGGTGGCTGGGCAGATTACTCTTGAGGTGAGCATTTACCGAACGGTGCATTCACTGGGTCATCCTCTTCATCCTGTCTATTGATATGTGCTCCTAATTCTTTTTACCAGATGACATGCAGGCTGAATATCAGATTTCAGTGTTGTGGATTTTAGAGTATGTGCATAGACCTTATTGTTGAATATCCCTGATCAAAAAAATGAATACTCCAAAATGTATTGTGTGCTCAAAACTTCAAGTGGTCTGGCGAGATAGCTCAGCAGACTAAGCACCTGCTTAGGCAAGCACAGGGTCCAGGGTTCAATCCCTGGTACCATATGCTGTGCTGGCCCCACTCCCAGGCACACTGAGCTGGCCACCAAGACCAGATTTGGTGGTGCACCCCTGTAATCCCAGCTCTGGGGAGGCTGAAACAGGAGGATCACTATGAGTCTGAGCTATGTAGTGAGACCCTGTACACAATACAGTGAAAACAACAACAACAAAACCACTCCAGATTATGGAGCATTTTGAATTTTTTTTTTTTTTTTTTTTTTTTTTTTTTTTTCCTCAGAACCAGGGATTGAACTCAGGCCCTTGCACTTGCCAGGCAAGTGCTTATTCTACTGAGCTATCTCCCCAGCTGCATTTTGAATTTTGGATTTTTTAATGAAGAATACTTAATTACAGCTTTTCCCCACCTTTCCCCTTTTATTGTCTTAAAAATATAAATTCTGGAGCTAAATATATATATAATACATACTTTTTTTTTTTAATATCCTGTTGAAATGAAAATGAGATTCTTGCTTCCTTGCTGTCATGCTGCTGCTTTGTTGACAGCTGTCAGTTGTTTTCCGTGAGTGTGAGTATGTGGACCTTTTTGGAGCCTGAAAGAACAAAGCTAACTTTGTGACTTTTTTCCTTGATGCTGGGCTTTGAACTAGGCACTCTACCACTGAGCTATACTGCTAGTCTGTCAGTAACAGCATATTGCTTACCATGCCATTTTTTTACTCATGATTATTCTTAAAATTTTGATTTAGGATTATCTTTCTAAGAAAGGTACTTTGCACCTGTTCCTGAAAGTTTTCCCTCTCCCTTCTCAAGTTTTATTCTGGACACCGGTCTCCACACATCCCATACAAGCTGCTGCACTTGGTGTGGACCCACGCACGCCACCTGGCAGGCTATGAACAGCAGGATGCGCATGAGTTTCTCATCGCGGCGCTAGACGTCCTGCACCGGCATTGCAAAGGTGAGTGGCCTTCACCAACGTGGTGATAGGGATTTGTGCAAAATCGTGTAGGGAACACTTCTGATTTGTGTGTTATAGGCTGCATAATCCTGTTTCCTTTCCAATAGGAAAAATGCTATACTTGTTGTCTCAAGGTGATTCTTTGTAGTTTGCTTTTAGGAGGAGGAAAGTTTCATGTGTTGTCCTCAGAACTCAGTGGGGGTAGAGCAGCATGGTGGTGGGGGTCCTTTGGGGCCTGTCATAGTGAGCAGCAAAACCTTACAGCCCTCTGCTTGCTGTGGCTGCTGTGAGGATCCTCTGGGTTACCAGGCCTGAGGCTTCTGAGTTTTACTGATCACCACTATCCTCCCCTGAGGGACCTCTAGAAGGACCAGTTGCTGCTCTGGAGTAGGGCAGAGGACAGTACTATGCTCTGTTACTGCTTTCCTGACCCAGAGTCTAGTCCTCTCATAATAGCACCACAGCTGGGCCCCACAGGACGGTGTCCCTGAGGGTTGAGGAGTATTGGTAGTTTGGGGATATAGCAACTCCTGGGGTGGGAAGCTCAGTGGAAATGACTTGTGCCAGTTGGTTCCCTCCCTGTCCCTTCATGGTGGAGTCCCTATGTTGAAAATGACCTGCAGGTAAGACTAAGGAATGTCTTTTAGGAGGAGGAAAGTTTCATGTGTTGTCCTCAGAACTCAGTGGGGGTAGTGCAGCATGGTGGACCATGGTCCCTCCTTGGACCTGGTTGTCAACTTGAGGTTTCCATGTGTGATTCAGTAGGTCTGGGAGGGAGTCAGGGTTTTCACTCTTACTCAGGTCCTCTATGATATTGAGGATATAAGGTTCCACCTCATACCTGAGAACTCTGCTGAGGTAATGAAAGTTACCTGGTTAACTGTTGGTTTACCCAGGGGTTATTTGTGGTTATCTACAGCTAGTTCTAGGCAGTACCCTTCTATCCAGTTTGTTTTGTTATGGAAACAGGGTTTCACTATGCAGTTCAGGCTGACCTTGAGCTTCTCAGACTCACAGGGAGATCTAGCTGTTCTGGATGCAGGAATCCAGGAAGGCAAGGCAGAGTTGCAAGACTTCCTTGAAGAAGGATACCAGTTTATCACATTAACAGGGAGATAGATGTTGTTTCATAGAATATCTGACCCATTTTAGGCTAACTTGAAAGCTTTTTATTCACTTACTCCATATACAAAAAAGGGAATCCATAACCTTACCTGCTGAGTTCTTTTTTGTTTGTTTGTTTGTTTTTTAAGTATTTAGTACAGGGTCTCACTACACAGATCAGACTCCTAGTGATCTTTCCTGTTTTTCAGTCTCCCAAGAGCTGGGATTGCAGGCATGCACCACTACGCCCAGTCTCTTGTCTGTCTGTTGATTTCTTGAGCATTAGATGTATTTTGTTGCTAAAACACCTTAGAGAAAAAAGAAAAGTAACATTAGAAATCCGGATTTTCAGTTACCTCATCAAATTTAAACAGCAAGCTGCTCTGCCAAGCCTCTCTTGAAGTTGTGTACATCTTTATGGACTTTTCAGAGTGCCCACCCGCCTGGCTTCCTGCTTCTCTGGTGAGGTGTGGGAATTTTGTGTTTGCTGACTTGGTGGTTCACAGTCTAATCACAAACCCCTGCTCTGTCCCCAGGTGATGACAATGGGAAGAAGGCGAACAACCCTAATCACTGCAACTGCATCATTGACCAGATCTTCACAGGTGGGCTGCAGTCTGATGTCACCTGCCAAGTCTGCCAGTAAGTGTGGCCAGTCAACATACAGAATCAGCCTTTTTGGACTGTACCAGTATCGTGGTGCATTTCCCAGTGAACCAAAATATGCCCTGAGAAGTTTTAAAAATTAATCTAAGGAAAGAAAGAAAAGAATGGGGCTGGGGAGATAGTTCAGAGGCATAAGCACCTACCCAGCAAGCAAAGGGTCCCAAGTTCGGTCCCGGGCCCCATATGCCAAGCCAGACCTGGAACCTCCCTGCCCTGGAACTGAGTGTAGTGGTGCACACCTGTAATCCCAGCACTTGGGAGGTTGGGACAGGAGGATCGCTGAAAGTTCAAGACCAGTCTGGGCTATAAAAGTAAGCACAAGGGCTGGCCCAAAATGCATAGCAAGACCCTTTCTCAAAGAAAGAAAGAAAAAAGATAAGATAAAATAAGATCCTTGAGCCAAGATGGTACTCAGTGTTCTCTGACACTCCTTGGAGATGGTCACAGGATTATTTGGCTTTTGTATAGTGCAGCACATGCAGCAGCCACCAGTTGAGACACCTGTATTGTTTAAACAATCACACCATTGTCAGTTCTCAGCACTTGGAATCAAAATAATTCTTTCAGGAAAAGCTGGATCACTGATGGCATAATTTTTACATACATGCTTCCATTTTTATTTTATGGGTTTTTTTCCCCCCTTGCTTGCATATAGCATCCCCAGTTCTTTGCAGGTGAAATTTCTGCTTAGCACATCAAGCTTGAGAACCAGGAGAAAGGTCCATTGGTGCATTAGGTCAACCCTTATCTACCCACATGCTAATATTTTTAGTACAATTCAGTTTCCTAAAACCCTGATCCACTAATGTTATATCAACTAAGGTTGTTCGGAGTCAATAACGGAGTGCCACCTGCTGTCCTTGTGAGGGCCTAGAAAAAGTGTGCTACCATTGTCAGTCTAGACTGGCCTTGAACTTGGAGCAGTGCTCCTGCCTTAGCCTCTAAAGTCCTGGGCTTAGAGATGTATGCCACCATATCCAGCTTTATTTTCTTTTATATGGCAAAGATCATTTTGCATCTTGGCCCTGAGCTGGTCAGAGCTCCTTGTCTTCTGTATTGGTGGCAAATTTTTCATTGTTAAGTATCTCATCGAGTTCCCTTTTAAATTGACTTTATGTAGCTCAGCCTTCCATGTTCTGAGGGGCTACCAAGCCTGGTGGGTACATGCTTGGCATGATGTGTGCATGTATTATCACCCAGGGTGGAGGTGCCCCGTTTCTGGGTAATGACATTCCAGTTCCTTCACAGACCCAGAAAGATCTAGGGATTCACGGCTTTTAGGCCATGGATTCCAGAAGTTTACTGAAGTTCTTGAATGAAGATGATCTCCCAGATTTACAAACTATCTAAAGAGCTTCTCTTGTCTCACCAGTGCTGTACATGTCTCTCCCTCAGGCCTCCTGGGGAGCACAAGATGTATTCATGTGAACACTACAGCCTGAGGTGCCACTGGGACATGGGGGCTGCCTCAGAGCTATAGTGCATAATCCTCATGCTCTCACTTCCTTTTTTGCAGTGGAGTCTCCACTACCATAGACCCCTTCTGGGACATCAGTTTAGACCTGCCTGGCTCCTCCACCCCGTTCTGGCCCTTAAGTCCAGGGAGCGAGGGCAGCGTGGTAAATGGGGAAAGCCATGCATCGGGTACTACAACACTCACGGATTGCCTGCGGAGGTGAGGCCACCTGCTCAGGGGACGCTGCATCTTTCTTATAGGTGGGCTGTGGAGAAGTTGTGACTGGTCAGCACAGAGTCCTACATTCAAGGCCAGACCAGGGCAGCATTCTCTTTCTAAGGTCCGGGATAGAGCACTGAGAAGGTAGTGTTTAGTTGTAGTGGATATGCAGTAGCTGTCACTAGTCTGCCTTTTTGGCATGATGATTAGGTATTTCTTTTTGTGAGCTTTGCGTGGTAGCTCATCGGTATCACAGTCTCCCCCACCGTCCCTCACATAAGTGAACTCAGAACCACAGCAAAATTTGAAGCTTCCTTTCCTTTTGCAGCTGATGACTTACACCCAAGTATAAACCGAGAGGTCTTCTGATTCCCTGTGTATGTGGCATTTTCTGCAGGTGACCTAAACATTTGTGGTGGTCTTCACTGACATTGTTTAATTTATTCTTTTACAATGTCATTGATTTAGACAGGTAGTAAGGTTGGACCCCATCACTTGCATTAATGAGAGTCACTACAGGGAAGCTCCTGCCAAGTGGAAATTTTACTTGAAGGAGGTGTGGGTTTTTCTTTGCTTATCCTACTGCACAATCAGCAGAGTTGCATGTGTAGAGTTTTAAAATTGACCTTTTTTGTTGTACTTTTAGGTCCAGATAGTAAGTGGGGCTTTAGATTTTTGGTTTGAAAAACAAGCAAACAGCCAAAACCATTGTCCAAGGGAATCTTTACAAATCAATGTAGTCATAAATTTTAGTAAAATCAGTTTGGTAACTGAAGAAGAACACTTCATGGAGTTAACCTGTGCAGGTACCTGCTCTGGCAGCCCCAGGAGGCTGCAAGGATTGTGACCATCTCCAGCTTAAAAGCAAAGGGTCCTTTTTATGTCCTTCTGAGACTTGACACAAAGCCAGTCATCAGGTGGATTGGCTTTGGTCAGAGCAGCCTTTACCCTACCCTGGGGTAACCTTTCCAAAGGATAACTAATGTCTTTCCATAGCTGGTTGTGAAAAGACTTGTTTTTAAACTTAGGCATACACATCATTTTTGTTTTGTATGTAGTTCATCCTCAGTAGCTACCATCTAAGCTAAAAAAGCTTACTGACCTAACACAGCCTTCTTATGACAATCTTGGCTCACTGCTAAAAAATGACCATCTTTCTACACATTTGAATTTTTGAAATTTAAACCTTTTATGTTGAGATCATTGTAGGTTCCCACACAGTTGTAAGAGTACACACATTTCATGTGTATCTTACACCCAGTTTACCAGGACAGTGCAGAGGTGCCTGCCACAGCCAGGGTGCTGACACTGATGCAGTCAGCAGCCATAGCACAGCTTCTCTGTCCCCACGGGGTCCCTGCCAGACACGATTGCCCACGCCTTCCTCCTCCCCCAGTATCCTGTCCACCATAGCAATGGAAAACTGCTTTCCACAAACTGCAGCTGTCAGAATGTTTTGTAAATGAAATTATAAAACATGTAGGGGCTGGGGAGATGGCTCAGTGGAATAAGTGCTTCCCTGTCAAGTGCAAGGGCCTGAGTTCAATCCCCAGTTCTGCCAAAAACAAAACAAAACAAAAAAAAAACATGTAACCTGTGGGGATTGGCTGTTCCTACCCATCTTAATACCAAGTTGTCATTCTTTTTGATTTCTGGTGAGTTGCATGAGATGGTGAGCCACAGTTTGTTTAAATATTCATCTACTAAATGTGGTTTGGGTTATTTCCAGTTGTTGGTTGCTATGGTAAGACAGTTCTAAACATTAGTGTAAAGTTTTTGTGCAAATATAAAGATTTTATTCTGGAACAAATTGTAATGCAGTATGGCAGTTGGGAAATTATTATCATTTCCTCAGACTTTTCATGTAAATGAAATGCACAAACAAAGGCACATTTAAATGAAATGCTTAAAGAAGATAAAGAAGAAAATAGTTTCTCATTTTTTGATCATGAAACTAACCATAGGCTTGGGTTTTTTTTATTGGGGAAATTAACCCAGCAGAAGTAATAAATGTCTTTGTCTTTTTTTTTTTTCTGACCCTTATCTTTCCCATCTTGTTTTCTTAAAATCATGATTTTTCATGCCTTGTAGATTTACCAGACCAGAGCACTTAGGGAGCAGTGCCAAGATCAAGTGCAGCGGTTGCCATAGCTACCAGGAGTCCACCAAGCAGCTCACCATGAAGAAGCTACCCATAGTGGCCTGCTTTCACCTCAAAGTGAGTCTTCCAGAAAACAAGCTGTGTGGTGGCTCCAGTGTATGCCACATGACAGCCTTACAGCTACAGCGAGCCAGTTGTACAAGGCAGCACATGGGCTGGCGGTAACATGCTCATAGCTCCCCTTGTCCCTGTCACTGAGAGGTTTATTGTGCCAACCCCTAAAAAAATAATAATACAGAGCTGGCAAGATATCTCAGCAGACTAAGTAACTGTTAGGACAAACACAGGGACTGGGGTTCAATCTGCAGCACCACATGACATGCTGGCCCCGTCTCCAGGCTCACTGAGCCGGTCACCAAGTCTGGGCGTAGTGGCACGCACCTGTAATCCCAGCGCTGGGGAGGCTGAAAATAGGAGTATTACTGTGAGTCCAAGCTGCATAGTGAGACCCTATACCAAGTAAATAATAATACATGCTTCCTGATAAACATAGAATGTGAACCACTTCTAGGAATAGGGCCTTTGAAGGTCTTAAAGGTTTACTTCTTCCAAATCTTCCTCTGCAAGTTTTCCATTTAAATACCCTTATATTGTGATGTAGTCCAGGATTTTGCAGGCATTTTCCTAGAAAGTTTGGATTATAAACTTTTGAGGGTTGAGGAACCATGTACCATTTCTGTGGTGTGTTCTTTAGGTTATCATCTCTCTTTTTTTTTTTTTTTAAATGTATTTAGTACAGGGTCTGCAGGGTCTCACTACACAGATCAGACTTGTGGTGATCCTCCTGTTTTTAGCCTCCCAAGCCCTGGGATTATAGGTACGTGCTACCATGCCTAGTCTCAGTAACATCTCAGCACATCCCGGGGGCAGGGCCGGCACAACATTTCGGGGATCAAACCCCAGTCCCTGCATCTGCCTACGCAGGCTCTTTAATTTGCGGAACTATCTGGCCAGCCATTATAATCTCTTTAATAAATGCTTTTTAAAAGACTTCCTATTGGCTGGGGAGATGGCTCAGTGGAATAAGCGCTTCCCTGGCAAGCGCAAGGGCCTGAGTTCAATCCCTGGTTCTGCCAAAAAAAAAAAAGACTTCCTATCATGATAGCTGGCTTTAGTACTCCTTAGTCAGAGGAGTGTCCTGTTTGGTGAAAGGAGAGTAGTGCTTTCATTTTTGTACCATAGGCTATAGGTATATTGTCAGCACTTTCCTGAGTTCTGCTGTGACATTTCTATTTTGTACTTGTGTTGTTTGTCATTTCAAGATTTGAACTTGAATCCCATAAATAGTATTTATGTAAATTAAGAGTTGAAAGCTCCAAAAGGAGCCAAAAAGAAGTTTGGAAATTCAAGTGAGAAACTCAGAGAAGCACCCATGGAGGGGCTGTTTCACACTTGTGAGCTGTCACTCAGGCTTTCTCTTCTCTCTCCCACTGTGTCTAGCGGTTTGAGCACTCAGCTAAGCTGAGGCGGAAGATCACCACATACGTGTCTTTTCCCCTGGAACTGGACATGACACCCTTCATGGCCTCCAGGTAGGACAGTGTTGATTCCAGCCTAATCTTGGGGTCAGGGATGTCTGAGGCAGTCTTTACTGAGCACCAGCTTTCTAGGGTGGGGCAAGCCTACCTGATTTACTTTTTTTTTTTGTTTTTTAGGGAAGGGTTTACAGGGTGTTCAGGGTTTCACTACTAGATTGGACTCCTAGTGATCCACCTGTTTACAGCCTCCCAAGAGCTGGGATTATAGGCGTGCACCACCATGCCCAGTCTCAATTGCTGTCTCAGCACTCCCTGGGAGCAGGACCGGCGTGGCAGGCCTGGGGATCGAACCCCGGCCCGTGTGCCTGCCTGACAGCGCTTTAATCCATTAAGCTATTTGGCTGGCCTACCTACCTGATAATATAAATCTCATCTTCCCAAACCTAGTTATTTGTTTTGATCTTAACGCAAGACACAGTTCAGTGAATTGGTTTTTCTTAGGCAGCTCATGCTTTGAATTTTTTCCTCTACCTTTTAATATTTATTTACTTATTTATGACAGGGTCTTGCTTGTCTTACAGGTTGGCCTCACACTCACTTTGTAGCCCAGCCTGGCCTCCAACTCATAACTCTTCTGCTTCAGCCTTCTGGGTGCTGGGATTATAGGTGTTCACCACCATGCTTAGCGTAATAATCTCTAATAATCAACTCAAGTCTCTAATAGTCAGTTGTCTAATAATTTTTAAACTCAGAATCTCCTCTGGATGAGATCAGTGAAAAGTCAGTGTTTTAGTTGATGGAATGGATTTTGGAGTATAGATAAATGTAGTTGATTTTGAAGGTGTGAATTTTATTTTCCTGTTTTTTAAATCCTCATTTTCATAGATCTCTTTAAAATGTAACCCTCCAAGAAAGCATGCCACCTACTGATGTGTTTGGGTCTATGGTACCTGTCCACACATGTACAGGCTTAAAACAGAAGCTTATTTTTTCATAGTTCTGGAGGTCAGAAATCCAAAGTGGAGGTGTTAAGAGGACCCACCTTTGAGTGTCCAGGCAGAGTTCTGTTCCTTGCCTCTTCTATCTACGTGGGGCACCAGATCTTTTTATGGCCACACACACTGCTCTGACTGTCTGGCCTCAGGACCTCCTCTGGAGTCTGTCTGGTCTCTCGGCTTTTTTCTCATAAAAAAGTTATCTTTCAATGTAGAGCCCACCCAGATAATCCAGCAAAGTCTCAACATCTGTAATCTGTAAAGATCATTTTGGGGGACTGACGAGATGGCTCAGTGGTCTAAAGCACCTACTTGGAACAAGCTTGGCAAAGCACAGGGACCGCGGTTCAATCCCCCAGCACCACATGCCAGCCAGCCTCGCCCCCTGGTGGGCTGAGCTGGCCACACACACACACACACACACACACACACACACACACACAATAAATAAATAAATAAATGTTTAAAAAAAATAAAAAAAAAATAAAGATCATTTTGGGGTTGAGATGCAAGATGTCACCTTTTTATTTTTTATTCATTTATTTATTCCCTTTTTTTTTTTCAAGGTGTTACCTTTTTAGAGGCTACATTTTAACCTATTAAACCATCTCAAGTAGATTATTGTTCAATATTGATCTCTTCCTAGTGTGGTTCTTATAGTGGCCCTGTCCCGGTGGTTCACAGTTGACTGTGTAATCTGACCATCAGAATTTATTATTATTGTTTTAGTTACTCTTCTCTCATTGCTGGGATAAATATCCGACACTCAAATTGAAGGAAGGAGAGGTTTATTTAGCTCACAGTTAGTTACTGGAGGTTTCAGTCCATATTCAGCTGGGTCCAAGGCAGAGCAGCACATAGCAGAAAGCAACCTTTCAAGACTGCGGCTGAGAACAAGAGCAAAGGGAGGAGCAGCAGCAGCTCAAGCCAATAACTTCTCTTTCCTGCTTACATTGAAGTGTAAATTACCTGCCCTAGGGCAGGTGCAGCATCCACACCCAGAATAATCACAAACTCCAGAAGCTGCCCCATGACTGCATGAGGCTTTGGGAGGACACCTAAACACAAATGATAACAGTTATCAACCCACCCCTGGGAAGTAAGTCTGCCTACCCTTGACATTAAACGTCCAGGAAGATAGTGAAGCTGTTCTGAAAGAATGGTCTCAGAGATCTTACGGAGTCACTAAGATCTAAATGTCCTCTGCTAACATTTGCAGTGGGTAAAGAAAGTATTAAAGCTTGGCTGTTTAGACAGGAGCAGGGACTGGGTAGAATCGCCAGAGTGCTTGTTGGCCCTGCCCTCAGGGTGCGCTGAGCAGGTGATTGATACTGGGCATGGTGGCATGCACCTCTAATCCTGGTGCCTGGGACACTGAAAACAGGAGGATCACTAAGAGTGAGATCTGTGTAGTGAAACCCTGTACTAAATACATTTTTAAAACAAAGTATTAAAGCTTGGAACTTTTCATTTCTGGTACAGCTCCTCTTCCCATTTTACCAGAAGCACTGGTGATGGCAGAAATAGCTTTGTTGTTTTTAAAGATTTTAAATGGAATTAATTCACTCTCCACTTTTGGAAGGAGGAGTATACTCACCCCATACTGTTTATAAAACTCCCTTCACAAAGCAGCTCAGAAGCTTCTGAGGCAGTTTGTGGCCCAGAGTCAGGGAGACCCTGTGGCTCATCTGTTCTACTACAGGACTTAACTCACAAAACATGGGGATTGTTTCTATCTAAAATAGAGTTGCTGGAAGAATAGGAGAGCATCTGCATAGTGAGAATAATCATTAGAACCTTGGGTCTCTTCGGTGAATTCTGACTTACACTGAGTTTTGTTGCTGTTTGTTACAGCAAAGAGAGCAGGATGAATGGGCAGTACCAGCAGCCCACAGACAGTCTCAACAATGACAACAAGTATGTGGGGCCTGTGGTGTGGGTGGCTGGGTGTACTGGGCGTGGGGAAGGAGTTGACAGATAGGCATAGCACTGGCAGTACTCCTGAGTCTCCTGGCTACTGATGTGCTTCCAGGCAGGCTCCCTGTTGCCCTTGGTGTAGGCAAACCCCCACCCAGATAATCCAGGAACCTTTCACCTCTGAACTCCCTCCCAGTGGGAGACCTGTCAGACCTCTGGTATGAGTGAGGTTCTGTCGGGAGCTCTCTCTGTCCTTCACCATGTTTAATATGGCCATATTCCATCTGTGACTGTCTTTGCCACTGGCGTGTGTAAATGGGGAATGAATAGGACAGTGACAGTCACCTCCACTAATGGTTACCACCAGTTGTACTAAGTGTGTGTGGTTCCAGGAGCCAGCTGGACCTGGAAGGGAACAGAGTGAGCCATACCCAGCTTCCTGCCCTCAGGCCCCAGTTCCCAGCACACTGCACACTGCAATCCACTTAGCTAGTTGGCAGCCCTTGCTGCTTGGGGGATGTTGATGCCATCAGTCAGCTGTCCTGTCCTCCTTCCTCTACACCAGATACTCCCTGTTTGCTGTTGTGAACCATCAAGGGACCTTGGAGAGTGGTCACTACACCAGCTTTATCCGGCAGCACAAAGACCAGTGGTTCAAATGTGATGACGCCATCATCACCAAGGCCAGCATCAAGGATGTGCTGGACAGTGAAGGGTGTGTCTTGGGCAGATGGAGGGTGGAGGGACGCCTCAACAACAGCTCTACTCCTTTGTATCCCAAGTCCAAAGCCATGGCTATTTTAAGGTGTGAAGTAATAGGACTTGTCCTAGATAAAGCACCATTTCGATGAGGAGGAATGTCCTTGACCAGAAGTACTCTTGCCATCTTTTAACTTGGGAACCTACATAATCATTGTTGGTCTTAAACATGCTATGAACTGAGCCATTAGTTCTTTTTTGTAATGGTAGGGATGGAGCACAGGGCCTCCCACCTGAGAGTGCTCTACCACTGAGCCACTCTGCATCCCTTAAGTATACCAATCTTTAAGTATACCAATCTTTAACTCCTCCTCCACTAGTGGTGGTGTTGGGACACAGAACTGTTGTCCTACCAAGGACCAAGGGAACTGTTCTGTTCTGCCTGCACATCACTAGGCTCTGAGCTCTTGTTGAACAGCAAGATCCATGGCTCCAGTAATTCTTGAGAATTTGGACATTAAAGCTCTTAAGCTGGGTCCACTACACCCCTTGCCTTTCACCCCCAGTTTTGCTTGGAGGGTGTGGGGGCTGCACCTGCCTTAGTGCTCACAGTGGACAGTAGGTCCCATGCCTGGGCAGTAGTGGCTGTCATGGATAGGAGAGGTGAGAGCAGGATGCATTCCAGGGTCTCAGGCCACAGTGACTCCATGCAAGGGGAGATAGGCAGGTGGGGTAGTTTCACTCAGCCAGTAAGGATGGCTCTCCTCGAACATGGAAAAACAAAACCATGAGCCAAGAGGTCACATACCTGCAGAGCCCCCTCCTCCATGTCCTTGCCCAGTGCAGGCAGTCACAAAATGGAATTAGAATGAAACTTTTCTCTTTGCCTCCTCAGATATCTGCTGTTCTACCACAAGCAGTTCCTGGAATATGAGTAGCCTCATCTGCAGCAGCTTGGAAAGAAAGAGGGCAACAAGTTGGCAAGCCTCACAAGTTAACCCCCGCCTCCCTGACTCTCCATGACACCATCTCCTGTGCCAGCGTCTACCGGATAGCCCTCTGATTGGGGAGCTGGTGTCAGAGTGGCCATGTACTGCAGAGCCTTGACAGAGATAGCTGAGGGGGACCTATACCCTGGTGGAAAAAGAGCCAGGCCACCCTCAGAGTTCTCTTGTACTCCTAAAAACTCCATGGGCTCCAGGGGTCCTCATAGCACAGGGCAGCCTCTGCCTAGTGCTTCCTTCCCACATGCAGAGTTTAAAAGGTGCTCACCTGTTCAGAATTGTGAGTCCATTGACACTGTATAGTGTTCAAGGACAGAGGACTTATGAGTACCTTTCTTTAGGAGGGGGTGATAGTGTGTAGTGTGAGCTCCCCACCCCATTTCCTGCCGCGGTGTAGCAGCTCCAGGCAGCCTTGTATGGCTGCAGGTGGCTGCTCCACAGGCAGTTCAGTGTCCCCCTGCATGTGGAGCATCAGCCCGGGTGTCTCCTGGTATCCCAGGATAGGCATTTTCTTATTCCTCCCTTTCTCTTTCCACAGTGGTGAATTTCATAAATGTAAATGAATAATAGTAGTGAATGATTATCAAGTTTATACTGAAATTTAGATGGTTTCTTCTTTATTCCCAATAGTGAGTCTTGCTCTCTTAGCTAGTGCTGTTTCTGTTGCCTCTGCTCTCTTCGCTGGGAACAGCATCAAAGGCTGTGGAGGACTGGCTATCACTCAGAACAGTCGTTTGGTTATCTTAGTTCATGGCGTTAATGGCGAGTTTCTTCATGGCTCCATTGGCCCCCTTCCTCCTCTCTTTCTTCTCCCTGGTTTTTGGTCTGGTCCCGTTGCCTGTCGAGAGCTATGTGGTGGCTGTGCATTGGGTTTGAAGCTGAGAGGCCTCTGCTGTATGCCTCTGTTCTTCATTTGCAGTGGTTTCTGTTGTAGTGGGAACAAAATGACTTTGTGATTGAGCTTGTCAGCAGACCTAACTGAGGATGCTCCTTGTCAGGTATCTTTGCATGAATCTTTTGATTTAAACCCCAGCTTAGATTGTCCATTTCTGAGGAATGACAGCTGGGGGTGGGGGGGCAGGAGTGTGCATTTTTAACCAGCTTGTCTCTCTGTGCCTGCTTTGTGAGAGCTGTCTGTAGATTGTGAGGCATTCATCCTACAGGAGCCGGCAGGCTACAGTAAGGGCTGCAGTGCTGCTGTGGGAGCCAGCGTGCAAGTCGTGCAGGCTCTGTGGGCTGCCCCCACCGGCCGTGCCCAGCAGCAAGCTCGGCTGTGTTCCAGTAGTCCATTATTTGTGGACCATGAAGTTTGAATTATGTACAGTTTTCATGCATTAAGAAATTTTTGACTTTGAAAAACCATTTGAAAGTGAGAAGATTGCTTAGCTGACCTGCCACACAAAAAGGCAGGCAAGGGACCAGTCTAGCTCAGAGCTAGGTAACTTGGGGTGGGGGCAGTGGACACAGAAAACACAGGCAGAGTTGGCAGGTTGTGAAGTAGCCACAGTGGTGTAATGTATAAGCTCTTGTGTAGTTCATTCGCTGTTTTGTTTCTGCATTTAAAGAATGCATATTGAAGTGTGGTTTAAAATAAACATCTGCAGAGAAATATGGATGGCCCCAAATTTTCAGGTGTGGCCCCATGCTGCCAGGTTCTGCATGTCTGTGACTGCTGTGAACCTCTCTTGGAGAAGATGTCTCTTAATCAGGAATAAATCTGTTGAAAAGGAGACAGCTGCAGTCAACCTGTAAGAGTTTGAGCCATGAAGTCCTTCTTGTGGCTTGCCCAGTGATGCCTGGCCTTATTGCTTGTCTGGGAACAGGTGTGACAGCAGGTGTGCTGGCCAGGCCTGCTGCCCACCCCCTCTCCCACTCCTACTGCTGCTTGTATACAGTGGCATTGTTGCTCCTGGAAAGTTAGAAACCGAGCCACGTTTTTGGTGTGTTTTTTAATTGGTACAGGATCTCACTATGCAGCTCAGACTCGTAGTGATCCTCCTGTCTTCAGCTTCCCCAGTGCTGGAATTACAGGTGTGTGCCATCATGCCTTGACTTGTTGGCTGGCTCAGCATGCCTGAGAGCAGGCCTGGCGTGGCATGTGGTGTTGGGGAATTGAACCCTGGTCCCTGCGTTTGCGTAAGTAGATGTTTAGTCCACACATTGGTTTTTTTATAAGCATTATTTTAAACTTTTACGTCCAGATTATTCCCCTCCTCTTGTGCGGTTTTGGCATTCCAAGCGCTATCTCTGGGCCAGAGGCTTTGAGCATCACATTCCTACTTGGCCCTGTACTCTGCCAGGCCCTCAGCGTAAGGTCCCCCATTTGATGTGCTCATGTGCACTTGCTTTGTACATGATGGGTGTGGGCATCTCTTTCAGCTCACAGCCTGGCTGCTGAGTCAGGAAAGTGGTTTTCCTGTTTTCTGAACTAACCTGTGTAGGTGTTCAGGTTGCCCCAAAGAGACTCAAGGTTAAGAGAACCTGTGTTTCTAAGATGCTGGCTATCATCTCAGAGCTCCATCATAGAGCAGTGAACTTGTGCTCATCAGACATCTGAGGGAGCATTTTAACACGTGAAGCACCAGGAGTGGAGGATGGCCTGAGACATAGACACCTCCTTTCTGCCCCAGGCCTTCCCAGCAGCAGCCCATGCTGTATACCTGAGTGCTGTCCTACCTTGGCTTGGTGTGTTTGCTTTCCTTGTGTAAAATTGCAGTTCTTTTGACCATTCAAGTGACTTGTTTTGTTTACTATAGCTGAAAACAAGCATTGTAAGAAAAATTTCAATGATCGTGTTGTGGTTTGAGATTTTATTACTAAGATGTTTATACCTTCCTTCTTCCTGTCCCTGTTAGGGCCTATTTGGCTCTCGCCACCCCAATGGCTTGTAGTTTCCTATGCCATAATAAAGCTACATTTTATTCTGAACATTGGCTGGTCCTTCCTAACACAGGCTGCTAGAGGCAAGATGGCAGAGCTGCAAGGTCTGGAGAGGTAACCAGCCCCACTGGGTCAGCAAGGAGTGGAGTCTCAGGCTTTCCTGGGTGCCAGGTAGTCTACACCTCACTTCCTCCTCTGTGATTGGCCGCTGCCCTTGTCCTTTTCCAGCAGGAGTATGACATGGAGGATTGGGACAGTATGGGCCTTCAGGCTTGGGCACACGCGGGTTACCTGACTATCTTTCAAAGCTAGAGGAGACTGCCAGATCATCACTAGCAGCCTGGCTGCGGCCGTGGACAGTGAGCTGCTGCGTGACAAAGTGGCAGCTGTAAAACCTACTTCCAGAGCATAGAGGAAATCAGTGTGGCTGGATGGGTCCAGGGCTCCGGCTGGTTGGGGCTGTAGTGAACTGCTGCCCTCTCCCACCCCATGCTTCCCCTGCTCTAAGATTGTCAGCCTCCTTACCTTGTTGCCCAGACCTTTATCTCGGGAGGGATGAGAGCTGAATCATCTATTCCCCCTTCAGGTGCCTCTGATGCAAACCTTTGTAGCAAATTTTCTTCCTTTTTGTGGACATACTGAGATGTACAAGGAATCCCCTCCTCCCCTCTGTGTCTCCACTGCAACAGTCTTCATATTATAAGTAAAGAATAGGAAGAATTTATAATTGAGTTATTAGCCCCACTCCCACCCCCACCACACTGCTGGGGATAGAACTTGGTCTCACAGGTGCTGGGCAAGCGCTCTGCCTTGGAGTCACACTCTAGCCCTGCTACATATGCTATAGAAGAGCCAATTGTACATTTCCACTTTGGTTCTCAGACCCATGTGCTGGCTTGGGAGTGTGTGTGAGTGGCGGGGGGCAAGCACCAAACAGTAATTTCTAGTTGGAGCATGAAATCACTAATGAGACAACCCCATCACTCACTGTTGCAGTGCCACGTCCAGCACTGCTCTCGAACTTCTGGGGGTAGGAGGTGGAAGATGAAGGAGTGAAGACAGTGCAGAAAGCTGAGGTCGGGGGAGCCTCCTTTCTGGGTGGGAGACCTGCTCAACAACTGCAGTGTCTTTATGCTCTCAGCAGGTTGATGACAGTTGAAACCCCTCTGCCTAACAACTAGCTCACTTCTCATGCCCTACTCCTTGTTTTCCCGTGGTTTCGGGCTGGAACACGTGTTTACCTCAGGCACTCCATGCTCTGGGCTCTGCACGTGTGGAAGATTTCGGCTCTGCCACTCCTGACAGGGCAGCTTGCCGTAAGCTCTGTTATTTTGCAGGGTGTCCTGTAGACAAGCTCCTGGCTGCACATCCTCTGTTGTGAATCAGGGCCCTGGCTAGGGGGCATTGCTGGTGGTGTGCAAGGGGCGGGCAGAAAAAAAACATACCCAGGATATATCTTTATTCTGGCAGAGACAAAGTTCAGCCTCTGTTGGAAGAGGTGAATTGTAGTCATGCTGCTGGGAGGTGGTCCCTGGTCCTGGGAAATGATACCAGCCTAGAGTTAAGCAAGAGTCTTGTTCGAGGGTCAGGGAAGTTGGCAGTAGTGCCAGTCTTGTGGGCCTTGGTAAGGGCAAATGTGTGATACTGGGCCTGCTTAGCCTCTGTCTTTTTTTTTTTTTTTTTTTTTTTTTGGTGGAACCGGGGAATGAACTCAGGCCCTTGCGCTTGCCAGGCAAGTGCTTATTCCACCGAGCCATCTCCCCGGCCCCCAAGCCTCTGTCTTAACGGCTACTTCTTCATGGATCCTGAGCAAGCACAGGGGCTTGTGGGAAAGGCTGTCACACCTACAGTTGTGCCATTTTGTCACCTGAATTTTTTTTTTTTTTTTTTTTTTTTTTTTTTTTTTTTCAGAACCAGGGATTGAACTCAGACCCTTGTGCTTGCCAGGGAAGTGCTTATTCCACTGAGCCATCTCCCAGGCCCCTCACCTGAATATTGACAGTATCCTCTGTAGTGATCCTGTGTTCCCACTGAAGAGAACAAAGGACAGCCTGGCTATTTTGAGATGTCTG